ACCAGGCCAAGCCCATCTCCTCTTCCCTTCACACTGGCTCCCAGCCCTACCCCCGACCCTGGACTCCCACCCATGGTCCAGATGCCAGGTGAGTGACTGCAGGTAAGGATCCTCCTTGGAAGAGACCCAGAGCTTCTTTATTTCTGGCCTCCCATCTCACCCCAGGGCCTTTGCACATGCCAACCCCACTTCCTGGGACAATCCTTCCCTCCCCACCCTCTTTACCTGATTACTTCCTCCTAATCCATTCTCAGCAAATATGTCACTTACTCCAGGGAAGATTTTACTGCACCCCCACCAGGCACGCCTCCTTGCTCCCTGAACTTTTTTTTGTCAGTTTTCATCATGGTGTGCAGTATTGTCTGTCCCTGCCACTAGACTGAGAGACCATGCTGGTCTTGTTCACTGCTGTGTCCTTGGCGTGAAGGAGGTGCTCAGGCAACAGTTGTCAGCAAAACCCACAGGCCTCAGTCCTCCCTCAATCAGTCCAGTCCCCTGTCCATCATCGGTGAGGAACTCTGAGGCTCAGCAAAGGCAAGAGACCAGCCACGCTGCACAGTATCTCTTCCGATTCGAGTCTGGTCTCTCCCTGAGACACTTACTGAGCCACCTAGCCTCCGTGGGCCCTCAGGCCCCCAGGGCTTCACCTGCCACATCCCCGGATTCATGCTAAGGCAGCTCAAGGAGAAGCACCAGGCCAAAGCACGTTTAATTTTAATTTAGGAATCGGTTAAGGCTGCAGGCCTGCTCAGCTCCGGGCTGTCAATCAGCCTTCCTCAAGGCTGCATCAATTAGTTTAAAAATATTGAATGTAATTTTGCCTGACACAACATATTGCAGCTACTGCAAAATATAATTTATTTTAGAAGAAGAAATAATTAAACTAATTTGCATGTCAGTCAGCTGAACTGAGAAGCCAAGAGGGGAGGGCCGTGGAGGACCCTGCCCCTGCAGGGGACACCTACCACTGGCCATTGAGTGAGGGCAGCTTGGGCTTGGGTCTGAGCAGTGGCTGCCATGGGGTAGACCAACACACAGGCAGCAGGAGGGCCCAATGACATTGTGTATGGGCCAAATGCTGAACTTGGAGTTGGGTGGCTTAGGATCCACCCTCAGCTTGACCACTGACTCACCTAGGGCTTTGGAGAAAGCCCTGCCCCTCTCTGGGCCTCAGCGTCCTCATCTACAAAATGGGTTTAACAGTACCTCCCTTGAGGGTTATTTTGAGGACTAAATGAAGTCATGGTAAAGAAAGGGTGTTGTAGCCGGGCTCGGTGGCTCAGCCTGTAATCCCGCGCCTTTGGGAGGCTGAGGTGAGTGGATTGCCTGAGCCCGCGGGTTCGAGACCCGCCTGGGCAGCGAGACCTCATCTCTACAATAAATCAAAAAATCAACCGGGCGTGATAGCGCATGCCTGTAATTCCGGCTACTTGGAAGGCTGAGGTGGAAGGATCGCCAGAGCCCAGCAGGCGAGGCTGCGGTGGCCGGGAGCGGCCACTGCACTCCAGTCTGGGCGATTAAATAAGACTCCAACTCAAAAAAAAAAGAAAGCATGTTGTAAGTTGGAAAGTCCTGCACAGAGGTCAAGATAATTCTTGTTTTATACCAGAAACATTTGAGGTGGTAAAAAATAAAAAAATATGATTATTTTCAATTATTATATATGATACTAATTGTAATTGGGAGGGGTTTGGGATAAGTCAATCAGGTTGGACTCTCTCTCCTGCCAGTCACCCTAGGGCAGTGGGTGCAAACCTTGCTAAGGTTAGGTTACTCTCGGGAGCACACACTTGTAACCCCAGCTACTCAGGAGGCTGAATCAGGAGGACGGCTTGAACCCAGGAGTTCAAGGCCAGCCTGAAAAACATACTGAGGGCCCTGTCTCAAAAATAAAAATTTAAGAACCAAACCTTGGGCACTGGTACTTTTTAAAAGCTTCCCCAGTGATACTAATGTATAGCCAGGCCAGATACACACTGCCCCGATGTCAATGTCAATGGCCCTGGATGTCGACCAGGGGTCAGCCCATAACCTCTGGGATTCCAGGCCAGCCCCAAATTCGGGGGTCCCTAGGATGAACTCTGCAGGTAGCAACTTTGATGATTTAGTTGTACACATCTTCAGTGCTCACTCAGCTGCCCACCTCTTAGATCTGAGACCCTCACTCATGCCAGAGGGGTCAGGGCTTTCCTAAGAGGTGACGTGTGGCATATTAAAAGAGAAGGTAGCAGAGGCCCAGCATTACCCAATGCAAAGGCGCAATAAACAGGGCTCTTCTGGCAGTGGGCCCAGCACCTCAGGAGAGCGATTGCCCACTTATCAGGCCACCCTGCCTGAGATCACTCGAAGGATCCTGTCTCTCCCTCCAGGCCCTGCAGCCCTCACCACCCTTCGCGGCAGGGGAGGGCACCCAGCAAGAGCACTCTGGCCCTGGCTGCCCCTACCCTCCCTCAGTTTCTGCTGGGAGAGAGGCACCATTTCCTGGCTGTGGGCCTCACCATCCCTCCTCCCAAAAGCACCCAGCAAAGCACTCACCGTCTGTCTGTTGAGGCAATGCACTCTTAAAAATAACGGTTCACCCGGCATTCCCAGTCACGACTCCCATCTCTCACGCCCGGAAAAGCCCCCTCTAATCGCTGGAGCTGCAGATCTGGGTGAGCTGAGAAGATAGTGCGCCCCGGGCTAAGGGGAGCTCCAGAGAGAGTCGGGGTCTGAGTTAATTAAGGTTTCACCCCTCCTTTTCCTGACCCCCAGGAGGCAGCTGCACCTGCCTTCCTATCTTCGTTTCTCTCCTTATCAACATACCAGCAGCTGCAGTCGGTATCCAGCGGGCCCTGAGTTCAGAGGAGGCAGCAGCCTCCCAGTCCCACTCCCCGCAAAACTCACGGGGTGCCTGACTGCCTGGAAGCTTCCAGGCTGCCCCCGAGATAACTCCCTGCCAACCCAGCCAGAGAGTCCCGTCATTCAACTCACTGCCTGGAAGCAGGCTCTAGTGTTCTCCCCTGGGGGCTGTTTCTGAGGTCACTGGCAGTGGAACATGTCAGTAATGACACATGGCTAAAAGATAGCAGAGGATGGAGCACCAAAGAGCATTCAGGGGTCTTGGACAGGGTGGGGGGAGGCTAGAAAGAGCCAGTATCCAGGGTGCTGCGCAGAGAGGACAGGCAGGGATGAGTTAGTCCACATCCTAGAGTCACTCAACACCATTGCCAACAGGACCCTTTGAGAATGTCTGTTTATTTACAAATATTTATATAGCATTTGCCATGTGTTGTCCATGTGGTTTTAAGTGCTTTACAGATGTTAACTCAATCTGACTCTTAACCAGCCTGTTACTATAGACCCGTTTTGCAGCTGAGAAAGCTGAGGCACAGAGAGATCAAGTGACATAGCTCTGATCACACGGCTATAAAATGGCAGAGTTGGGTTCAGAACCACCTGGTTCCAGAGTCCTTGCTCACAGTCACTATGCTCTGTTCATTTTCCAGATGTGGAAACTGACGTCAGAGAAGGTAGGGTCTTCCCCAGGATTTAGGGCTGGGTCAGGGACACAGCCAGGCCTGAAATTCAAGCCTCCTGCAGTCTTGATCCTTCCAGGTTTTGTTCAACAAATATGTCAGAACCTACTCTGTACCATATCCCACAGTACTAAGGACTCAGAGATAAATACGACATGGACCTTGACCTCAGGGGCATCCTAGTCCGGGGAGGGGTGGGGACATCATGGTTTTGCTGGCCAAGCTCCACTTCCACGGACCTGTCTGCCCTTTCAGGATTGGGCCTTGAGAGAGCAGAGGTTGCAGAGCGCAGTTGCCAACTGACCGAGTCTTCTAACTTTCCTCTGTTTTAAGTTTCTCCTTTGCAATGTGGGGCTCTCTATCATAACCACAGGATTTCTACAGGGATACCTGAAATATTGGATGTGTGCGTTCTAGGAGCATTCAAAGTACTCCGTGATGAGGGGATGGAGATGGCAACGGTGATGATGGTGTGGTTGGGGGGTGTTGTGGTGGTATGGGTGATTATGGTGACCATGGAGTAATGGTAATAAGAGCATGGATGGTGATGGGGCTTGTGGGGGTCGTGACAGAAATGGTGATGGTGTTGGTGCTGATGATGGTGGTCGTGTGCAGGTGGTGAGAGTGATGGTCTTAGTATTTGTGATTTGTGTGGAGGGTCAGACTGGTGGATATGGTGCTGGTGGTGCTGATTCTAGTGGGGATAGCAGTGATGTTGATCTACTGGTGGTGATGGTAGCAGCCATGGTGATGGCAACAGAGTGTGGCAATAGCGACAGTCATGAGGAGAGTAATGGTGGTACTGAAGTTACATTGGGAGAGACAGTGATGATCATGCTAGTGATGGTAGTAGCGATGGTTTATTGGTGGCAATGGTAATTGTAATTGGCTTGGTGATGGTACCGGTAGCAATGGTGGAGATGGTGATGTGAAGGTGTTGGTGATGGTGCTGCTGCTGATGGTGATGGTGGATGGCAATGGTGGTGATGATGGTGATAGTGTTAGTGATAGTGACAGTGTTGGTGGTGATGGCGATGGTGGTGATGATGGTGATGGTGTTAGTAATAGTGACAGTGTTGGTGGTGATGGCGATGGTGGTGGTGGTGGTGGCGATGGTGATGATGTTAGTGATAGTGATGGTGGTGGTGGTGGTGGTGATGGTGATGGTGGTGATGGTGTTGGTGTTGGTAATGTGACAGTGATGGTGTTGGTGATGGTGATGGTGGTGGGAGGGTCATAATGATGCCAGTGGTGCCAAGGCCAGTGGTAACAGTGGTGATGGTGATAGCCATAGTGGAAGTGATGGTTTCAGTAGTGATAATCCCCTTACACCCAGATGTCCCCAGTCCTGGTCCTTGTACCAGCTTGGTCAACCCACAGATCTCTGTGTGACCCCACTGCCTAACTGCGTCCTGGTAGTAGGTAGGGGTTGTCCAGACTTTACATAATGCATCTCCCCCTGCTCTTGTGCTCTCCTTGCAGACAATCATGCCCAGCTATCCCGGGCATCCCTAAGGATCCGAATCCTGGACGTGAATGACAATCCCCCGGAACTGGCCACACCCTATGAGGCAGCTGTGTGTGAGGATGCCAAGCCAGGCCAGGTACCTGAGGGGCTGGAGGTGAGGGGTTGCTGCCAGGACCAGCCAAGGCCACTTCTACCTGGAGTGGTCTCAGCCTCACCATCAGCTCCCTGCTCCCCTCACCCTTCAGCTCATCCAGACCATCAGTGTGGTGGACAGAGATGAGCCCCAGGGCGGACACCGGTTCTACTTTCGCCTGGTGCCTGAAGCACCCAGCAACCCTCACTTCTCTCTGCTGGACATCCAAGGTAAGCCACCAAAGGGGCTCGCCCTGTTTCCATATTAGAGATGGGGAATGGAGGCGCCCAGAGGGCCAGTGTGGGATCTAAGACCACCTGGGTCTTGGCCAAGCCGGAGCTGTTTCTGGTCTACTAGTCAAACCATGAACAAGCAGGGTGTGGGTGGGGAGAGTGAGGGGCACCCAAGGGTAGTAAGTGGCAGATAGGAAGATACAGATGGGGGTGGATGAGGAGGGGTTGGGCCAGGGACCGGGATGGGAAGAGCCCCTGCCCTGAGTAAAGACTGAAGTAAGCCACATGCACACAGCCCACCCTACAGTTTTACTCCACTTGCATTTCTCATGACCACCCTGCAAGGTGGCTTCCTGACCCCTCTCCCATTTTGCAGATGATAAAACTGAGACTCTAAGAGGAAAAAAGGACCTGCCTAGGGTCATACAGAGAGTCAGTGGTAGGGTGAGATTCAAGCCCACCCCTGTCTCAGGCCTCATGTGTTTCCCACCTTCACTCACTGCCTGGAAAGCAGCTGTCCCACCCAGCCTGAGCTGAGTACATCGTATGATCTGCCCCACTCCACAAGTTCCTCATGACATTGAAGTTTGAACCTTTAAGGAGTGAACTGAGAAACAGCAAGTGCAAAGGCCCTGGGGTGGGAGCAGAGCTGGCATCTTCAAGGAACAGAGGAGACCTGCATGGTTGGAGCGAGTGAGAGACAGAGTTAGGAGGAGATGGAGTTAGAGAGGCACTAGGGGCTGGACTGTGTGGATTCCTTATGGCCCTGGAAGAGATCTTGGATCACTCCCCAAGTCCTTTACATACATACACGCTAATGGGAGAGGTCTTAATGGCCTGTGAAGCCAGATCCATCTGTATTCCGGGAGTTGTATTAAAAACATTGAACAAGGCCAAGCACAGTGGTTCATGCCTGTAACCCCAGCACTTTGGGAGGCTGAAGCGGAAGGATCGCTTGAGCCCAAGGGTTTGAGACCAGCCTGGGCAACATAGTGAGACCTCATCTCTACAAAAAAAGTTTTCAAAATTAGCCAGGTGTGGTGGTGTGTGCCTGTAGTCCCAGCTACTTGGATGGCTGAGGAGGAAGGATCGCTGGAGCTCAGGAGCAGTCGTGCCGTTGCACTACAGCCTGGGTGACAGAGTGAGACTCTGATTCCATAAAATAAAAAATAAATAAGAATTTTTAAATATTTATTGAACAACCAGTGCCGCTCAGTTGGACACCGATCAGAAAGGACAATGACCAGAGCCTGGAACAGGACCCTGGAGCCCCTGAAACGCCAGGCATTAACTCCTTAGGGGCTTGATTGTGTCAAAATTGGGGAAATGCCTTCAGGAGACTCTTCAAGCCTTTTGGGGAGTATTCCAATAGTTTAGCAACCTGCACTACCCTACCTACTCATTATTCCAATGATGTCCTGAGCCAGCCACAGGAAACACAGCTAGCCTTGATGCGACCTCACCAAGTTCACGAGTCTTTCCAACCCAGGTGGCCTGAGGGTCTACCCCAACTGCTTCTGTTTGACTGGGGAAGGAGGGTGGGCATCAGAGCTGCCATCCGGTGTGACCACCTGGCCTGAGCTCCGGGGGACAGGACAGCAGCAGCTCACTGAGGTCAGAGCAGCCGCAGAAGGCCGCCTCCTCAGTCCCTACCCCACGCCAAGCCCCCTCCTCCTCACTGTATAAATATCCTAGGTGACAAACGGCCACCCCAACCCATCTGTTTCTTTGTACAAATGTGTAGCCAGTTTGGAAACGTGATTTATAAATATTGCGTTTGCAGCCAGGGATTGACACTGATGTATGTCAGGCCAGATGGATGGATGCGGTGCCGGGCACAGATCCCACCTGGAAAGGGTGGGGCGGGGTTCTGTGATGGTCGGCAGCCTGCCCAGCTGAAGCCAGCTGCGGCCCAGGAGGGCAGCTTGATGTGATCGGGGTGAAACCTGGGGAATCCCTTCCATGGGTGGAGGTGTGGCAGGGCCCAGCACTCTCAGAACATATGGCTCCGAGACAGCAGCCCCGAGAGACAAACATCTCTGCTCTTGCTTGGCAATTTGAGGCTGCACCAGAGCCAGTCACTCGTTCCTCGGATCTGTTTGCTTGTCGCTGCTTCCACAGTGACAATCACCTTGCACCCGAAGCACATGACGGCTTCCGGGGGCTCCTCCACACCCAGTCCTGTATTTTAACTCTAAGCTCCCTTGACTAGAGTGTAGGCCTGGCAAGGAGGGGCCCCGTGTCTGTCATGTTCATTGCTGTGTCCCCAGGGTCTGGAAATACACAGGGTGCTCACTTCAGATTTGCTGGTGAATGAATGGATGCTATGTCACTCGGTCAGTTCTTTGCTTAAAACCCACCAACCAATGGCCTCCCATTGCTTTTAAGACAATGACCCCCAGTCCCCATGGTCTCCAAGGCTTTCCGTGGCGAGCCCTGCCTCCCCCCAGCCTCATCTTGACTCATTTTCTGGCCCTCGTCCCTCACCCATGAAGGACTGCTGTCCATCCCTTGAGTGCATGATGCGCCTTCCAACTTCAGGGCCTTTGCATGAGCTGTTTCTTGTCCCTGAACTCATCGTTCGGGGCTCAGGAATAATACCACTTCTTCCAGGAAGCTCTTCTTGACCTCCCAGTCTGGGCCAGGTCTTGTGTTATGTGTTCTTCCGGTATTTTTCCCTTCACAGTGTTCACCATGGTTTGTCATTATAAACTGTTGTGGATTTGATTAACATTTGCTTCTCAAGAAGAAGCTGAGCTCTGATCCAGGACCATGATTGGTTTAGCTTGTTATTGTTTTCCCTCAATGACTAGCACAGAGCCTAGCACACAGCAGTTAATAAAGACTTGTGGGATGGATGGGAGGGAGGTGGGGAGGAAAGGAGAGAGAGAGGAAGGAAGAAAGGGAGGGAGAGAGGAAGAAAGAAAGGAGGAAGGGAGGGAGGGAAGAGGGAAGGGTTGCACTGGGCAAATTCAGACAAGCCACTCATCTCTGAGCCACAATTTGCACCTACATGAAATGGAGCTGATGCCACAGCCCTTGGTGGTTGTAGGGGCTGAACATTGCGAAGTCTCTGAAGTCCGCACTGAGGCTGGGATGCACAGGAGCAACCGGGTGCAGGCCCCATGCTAAACCTGCGTTCCCCGTCTTGCCCTTGAGCCTCCTTTCCTCCCCAGGGGAAGGCAGACGTTTTCCCAGCTGGGGTCAGCGCACCCTTTGGCAGGAGGGCTAGAGTTCAAGCCGGAGTTGGAGGGACTGACCCAGGACCACCAGTTAGTCCAAAAGTTGTGGTTCATTCAAGCATCGTTCTCCTCGGCTGGCTCAGCGCCAGGCCCCCGCTGGCCGTGTGGTGCAGACAGGCACACACTAGCTTAACACAACGTGACAAGTGCCGTAACAGGACGGTGCATGGCACCTGCGTAGTCAGAGCAGGGAGGGGGAGCCATAAATCCTGCCTTCCCAGGGAAGCGGAGAAAGGAGGCCACAGAAAGGAGGTGACATTTAGCTGGAGCATGACGGATGAGGAATTTGCCCAGGCAAGAAGGTGAAGAGGGCGTTCCAGATAGCGGGAACTTTACGAGCAGAGGCAGAGCAGCCTGGGCAGGGAGCCCACGGGCAGTGCAGGGAGGGAAAGTGGGACGGAGGCAGAAAACATCAGAACCGCCCGCCAGGCATGGAGAATTTCTTTCTTTCTTTCTCTCATGTCCATAGTCCTTTTTTATTTTCTATGGAGGACTTTTAGTAAAAAGGGCTCCTGTGAACCTCACAGCCACATGGCCAGGTGTCTCATCCCATCTTCCAGTTGGGGAAACTGAGGCTTAGAGAGGCTAAGTGGCTTGTGAAAGAGTACACAGCTTTCTGACTTGAAATTAGGTCTTCTCACTAGTGTCACTCTCCTCTAACTAGACCACCTGCTATGAAGCTGAGCTGGAGACAAAACCTTGGGGCACCAGGGGCAAAATCTTTCTGTCTTTTTTGATATGTATATTTTATTTTAAAGATGTGGAGTACAATCTTTAAAATAAAATATATGTATCAGGATTAGGTATACAAGTGGACATCATACAGGTAAAGTTTGGGCCCCCTTTGGTCCCCACTTTGCCTGGTTTGAGATCAGGTACCCGTATTGATGTTACATGGCCCCCCCACACACACACACACCCCGGCAGTATCCCACTACTGCCAATCCCTTTCTTATAGAATTTTGGTAAATGTTCAGGGTCCACTTATGGGTGAGAACATGTGGTACTCAGTTCTTTGTTTCTGTGATAGATCACCGAGCATTATAGACTCGGAATCCATCCAAGTTGTTGCAAAGTCCATATATTTGTCCTTCTTTATGGCTGCATAATATTCCATCATGTATATGTACCACATTTTTTTTTTATCCAGTCCAGTTTCGATGGGCAGCATGTTTGGTCCCCTGTTTATGCTATTGTGAATAGTCCTGCAGTAAACATGCGTGTGCAGGTATCTTTTCTGTAGAATGATTTGAGTTCCTCCAGGTATGTTCCCAATAGGGAGATTTCTAGTTCTTTTAGAAATCACCACACTGTTTTCCATAGATAATTTCTATGCGCCGGGAACTATCCTAAGGGTTATGCACGAATGACACCCTTCAATCCTCATGCCTATGCGTTATTATTTTTCTCAGTTTTCAGATGAGGAAACTGGGGCCCAAAGAAGATCAATGAGCTTCCAAGCTAGTAAATAAATGATAGACTCAGCATTATTTTCAAGTTTCCTGATTTTAATGGAAATTTTCAAATGTGTCTAAGAGCAGCTAGGCTAATATGATAGATGTAATGGCTAGAATGTACCCATGGCCTCGTGGGCTGTCTTTAATTCATGGCCAATCTTGCTTCATCCTGTCTGCTGCCTCGATGTGCCCAAGGTCACAAGTCAGTCCTTTTGAGAGTTCCTTTTCTTGCACTGTGTCCACAAGGAGAAAGGCTAGATCTGGGCACCAAATCAGGGATGCTGGGGAAGGGGCTGGGTTAACGGGGGCCACGAGCTGGGGAAGGTACCCAGGCTGCCAGCATCTCAAATCAGAGTCCAGCCTGAGAACTCTGAGGGCAGGGAGGACTGCAGAGCCCCCAGCAGGAAGACAGGACCCCTTTGGTGGAGTTGGCTGTGACCTGCAGGCCAGCAGCCAGCTGGGCTCTGAGTACCTCATGGCCCCGCATGTGCAGAACAGAGAGGGGCCATGAAAATGACAGAAGGTCAGGGGTGGCCTGACTCCCACAGGACAGGTGGAGGAGACAGCCAGGGCGGAGCGAGTGGGGGCCACCTGTCATCTACACCTGTGCTCCAAGGCCAGCTACCCTTCCTCTGCGTCTTGCCTGGCTTTCCTGACAACAGGTGAATCGGTGCCATGAGTTCCATTTGTGTTTGGTAATTTTCCTCTCAGGCCACCTGTGTGGAAAGGAAAGATGTGGGCAAGGAGACCTCGATGCTCTCGCCTCCTCACCAGGCCCCAAAGACTATGCCCCCAGGCCTCCAGGCTCAGCTTCTCATCTAGAGTCTCTGAGCTGGCTCTATGACTCCAGACTGGCCATGGGGTATGAAGGTCAGAGAGATCTCGCAGCCAAAGACAGATGCCAGCCAGTGTTCCCAGTCCCCTCAGATGACCCAGGACGTATCAGGGCCCAGCAAACCACAACCCAAGGATCACAGGACTCCTAGGTTCATACACTGGGCAGCCATGATAGAATCTAGAACAAAAGCAGGCTGTTTAGATGAATGGGGGAAAAAATGACATAGTGGGAGACAGGACTTTGGCCCAGCCAGGGACAGAATCTTGGAATAGCTGGGGACAGAACCTTGGCATAGCTAAGGACAAAGTCTTAGATAGCCGAAAACAGTATCTTGGGACAGCTGAGGACAGAATTGTAAGCTGTATGGCCAGGGACAGGATCTTCGGGCAGCTGGGGGCTGAAGTTGGGGACAGCGGGTAATGGAATGGAGAGATTGGAGAAGAGGCCCGTGAGTCATTTCGGAGGCAGTCACTGGGCGTATGGAGACCAATCTCAAGGTGGAACTAGGAGGTGGCTGGCATGAGGGGGCCCTGGCCCCGAGTCCCACAGCTCCCCCTTCTCCCGGAGCAGACAACACAGCGGCCGTGCACACGCAGCACGTGGGCTTCAACCGGCAGGAGCAGGACGTGTTCTTCCTGCCCATCTTGGTGGTGGACAGCGGGCCGCCCACGCTGAGCAGCACGGGCACGCTCACCATCCGCATCTGCGGCTGTGACAGCTCCGGCGCCATCCAGTCCTGCAACACCACGGCCTTTGTCATGGCCACCTCCCTCAGCCCCGGCGCCCTCATCGCCCTCCTGGTCTGCGTCCTCATCCTGGTCGGTGAGTGCACCGAGAGCCATCCTCCCCTGCCCAGCCGGCCCCCATCCTGGGGCTCTGGATTTCCTTCCCAAGCAGTCCCCAAGGAGACTCAGTTGCCCTCCCCACACAGGAATGGTGGGCTAGCCTGAACAATTTCCAAGCTCCAACATGCATCTCCTACGAGAAGTCTCCTAAGTACAAGACAGCCCTGCCACCAACTTCAGACAGAGTTCATGCTGGCCCACCCTCTATACAGCCCAAATCTCTCCCTGATTTTTAAAAATTCTCTCATGTCCATAGTCCTTTTTTATTTTCTATGGAGGACTTTTAGTAAAAAGGGCTCCTGTGAACCTCACAGCCACATGGCCAGGTGTCTCATCCCATCTTCCAGTTGGGGAAACTGAGGCTTAGAGAGGCTAAGTGGCTTGTGAAAGAGTACACAGCTTTCTGACTTGAAATTAGGTCTTCTCACTAATGTCACTCTCCTCTAACTAGACCACCTGCTATGAAGCTGAGCTGGAGACAAAACCTTGGGGCACCAGGGGCAAAATCTTAAGACACCAGCAGGGGCAAAAATCTACACTGGTTCAGTCCCACTAGAAGCCATCTGACTCCCAAAGTGTCCCCAGTGAAGAGGTCAAGTTTCAGGAGCCACACTGGATTCAAATGGTCATGTGTCACCTGCCACAGCTGTAGCCAATAGTATGGGAAGACATCGTTGCCCGAGTTGTGGGGTTGGTCCTCCTGGTGCAGCCAGAGCTGGGGGCACTCAAGGGAGCTCCAGATTGCCGACAACAGCTCGGCCCCATTCTCGAGGCGAAGTTAGCTGCCCCCACCCCTCACCATCTACCACTGGCATGGCTGCTGCCCACCCTCCGAGGACCTGCCCATGACCAGGCTGTGCCTCTTCAGGACCCCACAGAGACCCTGGGCAGCCTCCTCCTAGTGGGGAGGTCCAGTCCCCCCTTCCCTCCCCACCCAGCCCATGGCTCAGAAACTCTTTTTCCAGAGGGTGCACTTTACAGCGGTTTCATTTTCCGAGGCAGTGCAAACAAATTTCTGCCTAATTGCCCACAAACGAAGAAAGTGCACATCAGTGCTCTAAAGGTGATGGGCGGAATCGCTGATCAAGCCTGGCACATCTGTCGCCTGCCGCCCGCGATCCCCGCCATCTGCTCCCGCGGGCATTCCCCTCTGCAGCTCCCGGCCCCAGCTCCAAAAGCCATCCATCCATCTTTCCCACTTCTCCCCTGACACCTTCCTTCCCTAGTGCCCTGCCTTCCCTAGTCCCCAGCTCCCATCCTCTTCTCTGTCATAAGCCACCTTGTTAGGTGGTGAGCGGATCCCTGCCCCATGGCCCTAGCAGCTGGCTCTGGCCACTAGCCTGACTGGAGCTGTTCAGGGCAGCAAGAAGAGCCCAAAGCCCGGCACATGTGTGTGCATCCATCCATATATCCACCCACCCATCATCACTTATTTATATAGCCATCCAGTGAGTCTCTCCTATGCACTAGACTGTCTGAGGCACTGGGATTGATCAGTGAACCAGAGACTTTTTAAAGTCCTGAGTAACTAAAAAACTGGGGCTGTCATCATGAGATGGGGGAGACAGAGAGTGGGGGGAGGGAGATGATTATTTCAACTTTGGACATGTTAAGTTTGAGATTCTCTTGGTCAACCAAGAGGACATGTTGAGTAGGAAATTGACTGTACCATCCAGACACCAGGGGAGATGTCCAGGCTGGAGGCTGACAGGGGAGTGGCCAGCTTCTAAATGGAACTGAAAGCCATGAGGCTGAAGGAAGGCTCCGAGAGGGAGGGCGGTTGACGGCCAAGGTCCGAGTCTTGGGACATCTGAGTTAAGAAGTCAGAGTGGTGAGGAGACACCTGCTTAGAAGATGGAGAACAAGTGACCAGTGAGGTGGGAGGAAGAAGAGGAGAGTCCTGGAAGCCAAGTGAAGAAAGCCAAGAGGGGACAATTAATTCATTCACTTGCCCTTTCACTCAGCCAAGTCTCCATCCAACTCTTCATTCATTCATTTACCCAACAAGCGTGCTTCCGGTGTTCATGGTGTGCCAGGCACCAAGCTAGGGGAACATTTCCGGGGCCCGCATGGTAGTTTAATGTGTATGTTTTGGGGTGGGGAAGACAGACATGGTAACACAGCAGGGTCTGGTCTAAACTCCACCTACCTCTTTATTGCCTGGAGGCCTTGTTAAAACACAGACTTCTCCCCTTTCCCCGACCCCATGTCTAGCAAGTTCCCAGGGGATGCTGCTGCTGGCCCAGGGGCCACACTTTGAGAACCAGCGAAACAGAGAAAGGAACCCCTTCCCAGGGGATCTTGGAGAGGAAGGCAGGAACCTGGCCTTCAGCTCTCAAAGCAGAGTTCCTGCAGGCCTTGACCTGAGAATTAAAGGGCTGGCCAGGAGCTCAGGGGGTCTAGGGTGGACAGAGAAGGGCGGGGGTGAAAAAGAGGTCAGGGTCAAGGACTTCTTTCATTCCCCAGCTCCATCTGTCCCTCAGCGACCCCCAGCACCCAGAGTCCTCAAGGAGGTCCTGGAGTTGGGAATGGCGACCTCAGAGTTTGAATCGGCTCCTGAGGCCGCTCTCTGTTTGCCACCCCCGCCCCAGCGTTGATCTAGCCTCCAACTGCACACCTCCCAAGATGAGTAGCTCGCTCGCTCGCAGACACTCAGCTCAGCTCTGACTGTGAGAAAGGCGTTTTCGAACAGAAATCTAGGAAGTGTGCGGGCATGCTGAGGCTGGGCCCACTTCGCCGCGGGGGGGGGGGCCCGGGCAACGTCCTGGGCGGGGCTTGACCTTCCGTCTCCCGCGCAGTGCTGGTGCTGCTGATCCTCACCCTCAGGCGCCACCACAAGAGCCACCTGAGCTCGGACGAGGACGAGGACATGCGGGACAACGTCATCAAATACAACGACGAGGGCGGCGGGGAGCAGGACACGGAAGCCTACGACATGTCGGCGCTGCGGAGCCTCTACGACTTCGGCGAGCTCAAGGGCGGCGAAGGGGGCGGCGGCGGGGGCCCGGGCGGGGCCGCGGGGCCGGGCGGGGGCGGGGGCGCGAGCGCGGGCAGCCCCCCGCAGGCCCACCTGCCCTCCGAGCGCCACTCGCTCCCGCAGGGCCCGCCGAGCCCCGAGCCGGACTTCTCGGTGTTCAGGGACTTCATCAGCCGCAAGGTGGCGCTGGCGGACGGGGACCTGTCGGTGCCGCCCTACGACGCCTTCCAGACCTACGCCTTCGAGGGCGCGGACTCGCCGGCCGCCTCGCTCAGCTCGCTGCACAGCGGCTCGTCGGGCTCCGA